CAATAACAATAACAATGTTCCTGATTAAATCTGTGAAACATATCTCGCCGATATCAGCGGGTTTTCGGTGAGAACACTCCGCTTAGCTCTCCCTACAATCTTGCACCTCATTGATTTCGGCTAATGGAGGTTTCACCGCGATAATCTGTACCGTTCCACTGGCTGCTACTGACTGAATCCTTTCGGCGGGATTTTGCTGATCGCTGATATGTGGCTGACTTGTAACTGAGCTCATGAGTTTTCAGTGAAAATACACTGATTCCATTTTAGAGAGTGGATGTAGACCGCCAATAGGATTTATCTTGCTGAGGAACGTAGAGTAAATTCGGCTGAGTCAAATTGGGCTGTTCGATAAGTTCATAGGGATTTTTACGAGAGACTTAAAGCCCCCACAGCTTGATTTCTTTCGTCATTTTGTCCGAGAAAAACCGTTAATACATTACTGAATGAAGTTATGGCCAGCTATGAAAGTATCGGCCTCTCGGACCCTTCGCAAAAATCCCCGCTAACTTATCGGACAACCCTTTCAGTCTTCGTGTGATAACGGACTTCGTGTCCTAAAATAACAAAAAACAGCACGTATGAAACGGAAGAATAATAAATTGTTCCTTACAAACTCCTTAAATTTCTCGGAGTGAAATCTCAGTCGAAAAGCGGAGCGACGGCCGAGTTACTCGGACTGTCGCGATTCTTCACTTCGTACAAAATGAATTCTCCACGTCCGGATCGTCTCGAGCGAATATTTTTCCCTGGAGACTAAAAAAAAAAGAAGAGTGAATCCAACATATTCCCGGGGGATAATTCGCTGTAATCGATTGTAACATTCACTCGTACGGAGCCGGGACTCCCCTTCAGGCTCAAGTGAAACGTCCGCTCTTGCGATTCCGAGGGACGGTGCGCTTTCGCTTCGATTGAAAATACCGTTGACTCCGTTATGAGTGAGACTCCGCGAGAAATCCAGGGAGAAATTCTCCCACGGTAATTTTCGCGACGCAACATTCTCTCCGTGTATTCGGCTTACATGTATAGTCTATATAATTGCGAGAGTATCGATCACACTCTCGGCGAGCCGAGGGTGAACAGAATGAGACGGAAGTGACGACGAAAGTAACACGGCGAGCTTGAACGAGCCTTCGTTACGCTAACGGTGAATGTTCCTTTGATTACGTGTGTGACGGCTTATCGGATAATTGGCGTCCTTAACTTCTAAACAACTGTAGAGAAAACACTCGATTTACCGCGGGACCGAGCGCCGCATAGTGTCCGCGCCGCCGGGCTAATTGCCGGTCGGCGCGGCAGAGAGACAATTCGCTACCTACCTATTTATTCGCAGCTCCTGCGGAATCAGCCCTCGACCGCCGCCGCACTGCAGATCCGAGTGTGTCGTTCTCACACGTTGAGATGTGCGCAATTCTCTCCTTTCGCGCATTTCTTTTTTTATACGCGTGTCACCTCGCGCAGTCAAGCGCGTACATTTTACGCACGCTCACGCTCATGTTAAATTACACATTTGAAACGTATCGTTTTAACCTTGCCCTCTTTTACTTCTCCGAGCCAAAGGTGTGCACTATTAATTGACTACTAATATATTGAATTTCATAGGTAAAACATATCCTCGGTAACAAAGGTTCTCGAAATCAAAACGGGAGGGCAAACGGCAAATTGACTGTTTGACCTTCATTGTTTCACGCGGTCATTATTGATTAATAAGTGTCGTAGCACTAACAACATATCTCTTTTCCAAATGTACGCTTTTATAATAAACTTATCGTATTGTGGATTTATTATTTCTTCTGCAATTATGTCGTCGTTTGGAGGACTCGGTGTTTCTTAATTACAGAGAGAACATTGAAGATTGGAGATCAAGGAGAGAATCCTTAGTTCGTTTTTGACGAGCCTTTCGTCGAGAAGCGCTGAGAAGATTCTCTCCCCAACCTGTAATACACATCTCCTCATAATTACACATAAGAATCACATGTAAAGCGGGGTCCACAATGAGCATTTCAGCTCCAAGCTTGAAGAAATTGACCGATCGCGGTCGATTATCCTCCTCACGTTCTTCAACTGTGACCGGTCAATTTCTCAAAGCTCAGAGCTTAAATTCTCATCGCAGACCGCGCTTAAGAGGACCCAAATGTATACGGTTGTTTATATTAATCGAAAGTACACATTCACCTTTTCATTGTCGCACACTTTGCGCATCGTGTTCTACGCGGTGAGACGCGTCGAATTAGACATTTAAACCGCGTTGCAGGTCCGCTTCTTTATGCGGACGCATTTTCGCGCGCGGGAAGCGCGCCCCCGCATAAATGTGTAATTTTACATAATACACGCGTGCTCGCTACGCACCCGGATTTGCAGTGCGTCCTTGCGCGCTTCCTATTGTCATATTATATTCGCTAACGGAAACACGTACGACATGCATCTCACTATCTAAACGTGCCTCCCAGTTCTCGCGGCGGTTCTTCACGCGGAAGAACAACCACTCCGATCCGCTCACCCCGGAGACACGAGCAGCGTTCCATGGCGGGCGCGCGCATGTGTGTGTGTGTGATTAATTAATTATTTAAATTGAACACTTAGATCGTTCCTCCCCCGTTCCGTTTGGCCTCTGATTCGCTCGGCGGAGTTTCCGCCGACGGGAGGGCCGCTCCTCCCGAATAATTGTTGACAAATCTCCCGAGAAATCCTGGGAGTTGCTTGTTTGCGCGGCCGCTTGAAAATTCCGCCCGCGAACGCGAAGATTTCAGCGATTTTGTGACACGGCGCGACCGACGACTCCGACGACGACGTCGACGCGACGATCGCGAGGTCTACGTGACTCGAACTGTGACCGAGTCTCGATGATATAGGGTGTCTCGAGAGAGAGGGAGGACCTTCCGTGTTCCGTTATTTGTTGCCGGCGACGTTCAAACTGTACAAGCAATTTCAGCGGGTAATTTGAGAGGGATCCCGGGGCTGGATGCCTCGGCAAAATTTGTTTGGGCTCAATTTAGCGAGCCCCGTGTGTAATACCGAGTCGAGCCGGGTTTTAGAACCGATGTCAAGTCTGTCGAGCCGCGCAGGCCACGCGGAAAATTCCGTGAAATTTGATTGATATCCAGCCCGATCTCCCCGAGAAAGGATTGTCTCCGGGAAATCTACGCGGTGTCGATTCGAACGGACGATTCTAAGCGGGAGGTCCAACGGAATACTCGGTCCGCCGAACGTTTTCCCGAAAGTAACATAAATTTACAGGTTGTAACGATGAATTTGCAAAAACCAATTCTCGCACTTTGCAATCACGAGCTGTGACTACGGCGTTGTAAGTTTTCAATAAATGCAACCAGTCGAGGAGTCCTCGCATTTTCTGTTTCTATCGTATATTATTCCGTTGAGTTCAATGGTTGATATAAATATGGGATTCGCCGTGTAACTTCGCGAAGGTAACACCGATCGGAAAGAAATTAAGACGGATCGAAGGTCCAGGAAATACCCCGAATTTCCACGATTATTTCTGTTCCGGTCGCGAATAGAGATCTCATGTCGAGGTGAAGAATGGCATTCCGAATTGTAATTACAGTGGCGTAACCTATTCTGAGACGAATTTGGACATTCCGACCGGAATCTATGCCGTTCTCGGGCAGATCTTGAAAAATTTCTATGCGGCGACTTTTAACGTAGATTGCGTTGTCGTCTCGTTGTTATTTCTGACAATATTAACGTTCCTCTCTCCTCCTGTCCGTCCGGCCGGTCCTTTCCCCCAAAACACCCTCTATATATATATATAGATAGACAGAGAAAGAGAGAGAAAAGGAGAAAGAGAGGGGGGGGAGAGAGAGAGAGAGAGAGAGAGAGAGAGAGAGGGAATCCCGGAAAAGAGGAGGCGAGGGCGAATCTCGGTCAGAGAGAAACTTCTCGCGGACTCGCGGAGCGTATTACCAGCAGACCCGTGGCACGATTCGCACGAGGTTGCCGCACGATCGTCGAGGATACGTCACCTATTCTCCCCGGGAGTTTGACGCGGACACACGAGGGTTCTCTGCCGCCGAGCCGGGGTCGTGTGTCCTCGCAGCCGGCGTTTCTCTTCCCGTGATCCGCGTTCTTATCGATGAGGCACGAGCCGGTCGCGCGTCGAAGTGTTCTCTCCGCGATATCGCAATCCGAGGAAACTTTTCCGACGGACGAGTATCGAGAGAGAGAGAGAGAGAGAGAGCGCGTAAGGGTGAGAAAGAAAAGAGCGAACGAACGAACGAGAGCGTTAGCGTCACTCGAATATCTTCTTCTTCTTTCCTCCCTATCTCTCTCTCTCTCTCTCTCACGCTCTCTCTTTTTCTCAGGCAACCCGGTCAAAGGGATGTCGAGATGCGCGTCTATCTCGGATATCGGAAAAGTATTTGCGGCGCTGTCTGAAATCCCCGCACGATTCGTTCCCGCGCGCTCCCTCGTGCGACGGGTATTCCGTCATTCTTAATCCTCTTCCGCGCTCGGCTGGGCGCGTTTCGCCGGGATTCGCACCATTAAGAGTTTACCGCGCGCGTTCTTGCGAGGCGGCTGCTAAGTACGGCAAAGGGTGATCTTCAACGAGTTCGCTCTCGCGATGCTCGGTTCCGCGACGGTTCCCCCCGCGTCGTCCGAGGGTCCGAGCGATACAGCAACGTCGTATAGGATGGGAAGAAGGCGTTCCTCTCTTTCGACGAACGTCAGCCGGTCTGAAGTTTAATCGATCCCGACGATCCTTCTTCCCGCTTACTCGTTATAAATCGTCCTACAACGCGGACCCGCAGATTTTCTAAGGCACTGCTGAAACTCAAAATGGCGGACACGTTGCGAGATATCGTTGTCGAGGGGAAAAAATTTTTCATATATAATTATATATAGAATATGTTCATATATATATATATATATATATATATATATAATTGTATATGATTATATACAAGCAACTGTATATCATCGCTTCATATATAATTATATATTTTATATTTTATATTTTTATATTTTTTATACGACACCTTATATATAATTGTGTATATTTGTATATTATTATTGTACATATTGAAATACTCTACGAATATATTTGCCTGAAAATAAGTATATACAGGTATTTGGGTGGGAATGCAAAAGATCTGGAAAACAAATCTGGTACAAAATCTTCAAAATGACAGATTCGGCAGTGAGAAATATCGAAATTCAATACAGCAATTATTTTCGTCGCTTAAGAATAACGAAACGGGACGAGTAATATTTGAGTAAGCTTAATATTTGAAATATCTCCTATTCTTGTATTTATTCTTGTTATATCTTCCATTGCCATATCTATTGTCACTCCAAATGATTGATCTGATTTCAGATTCGTATTCAGTGACCCCAAAATTGTATATACTTATTTTGAGATACCTATTTAATGTCGTAGAACTTCAATATCAGTGGTAACCATATTATCATATTGTCCATTTTGAATTTTAGTTGTATCTTATAAAATTTACAGGTCTTCGTTGTAGAAAGATTTCAAACGAATAAAATGACAAAAGAAAATCGTGTCGAAATCGATTAGACGTTAGACCGGCGGCTGATTTCTGTCCGAAAACAATATGCCTTTCTTCCCAGGTGTGCATCGTCGCCGAAAAATCGAGAAACCCGAGAAACTGAAACGGCGGGAAAACGCGAAGGTAGCAGCACGTGGCGTCGCGAGGAGAAAAGATTCGGTCTTGCGGGCCGAGTCGCGCGCGAATACGTGTAATATTTACACGGCGAATCTCGTTTTCGTCTCCCTTTTTTCTCTCTCCGGCGCTGCTTTCCGCTGGAACTCCTGCTGCGAAAGCACTTTTGATTAAAAACTCGACGGAGCAGCGAAAGAGCAAGTGAGCGAGCGAGCAACGCGTCGGCGGGCGAGGGAGGGAGGGAGGGAGAAGAGAAATCGCCTAATGGGTAATTCATTCTCGGGGAGGAACAAACGACGAAAGTCGCGGAAAAATATTCGAGTGGCCAACGATCCCGAGGATCTACGGGGAACGTTTGACCGGGAGGGAGAGAGAGAGAGAGAGAGAGAGAGAGTAGCTCCGCGCTGGGCTCCCGTTCTGCTCCTCTCGCGATTCGATCCTCTTAGGGTCGTCGGAGTCGAATCACAAATCCCGTCGGCGAGATTCGTTCTTTCTATGTGATTACTTTAGACCGGTGCGCAGCGGTCCCTCCGAGTCGTAACTCTCCGCTGTCGCGATGTTGATCGAGTGTCCGCGATAAACGACGTCGAGTTAATCGTAAGAAGAAAATTTTCGATGTTGATGATCGAGCGTCTGCCATCGGCGCCGCGCTTTAACCCCTTGGATGCCCTCGCTCGCGCGAGGTTGTTCGATATTAATTTTCTATGTCGCTCTGAACGTACGTCGAGAAAGAGAGAGAGAGAGAGAGAGAGAGATTGTGTGTGTGTGTATTATAGGAAGCGTATAACGCGAAGCGCTTAGAAAAAAGAACATTCCGAAGGGAATGACGCGATGATAATCGATCACGTCGTGCGGTTTTCACATGGATTTCGATCCCCGCACGTCGAAAGAATCACCGTGGCTTAATATTAACGTCTTAATAACGCGCTTAACGAGCTTCATTAATATTAACGAGCTTGGACGCGCGCTCTTCTACCTCGTGACCGTAGGAAAAAAGCAATTGGTCCCGTACTTGCGAGATGATCGGAACGAAAATCCTTTCGACGAGAACGCCGATACATATACATACACGCATACAGGGTGTTTCTAAAGTCCTTCGGCAAATTTGTGGATCCTTCACATTACAATAACCGAGGATGCTCGCGTGAACTTGTGTCCGAAGATGCGTGGAATGAAAGGTATCATTGAAGGATCAGATTCGACGACGAAATTTGGAACTGACGGAAACCTGACCGATATGAAAATCGCAGTCCGAAAGTCCTGCGGAGAGCTACGGAAGGTTTCGCAAACGTCAAAAATATAAAAATTGGGGCACGACGGTTCATGATCCGACGGGTCGTTGTCTGCACTCAATCAGACAGAGAATACTATGAACATTTCTTATGAACCGTAATTTCCCAGACAGCATAGTGTCCAAAATCGAGTCATAAGAAGTCTCAAAGACTGGGTTAATATTGATCATATTTTGTCAGTTAATTTGACTGTTGATTTTAGTTTCTCAACGATTACTTTCGTTGCGTGGATCTTCAGACGTAATAATAAGTTTGCGCGCACTTGATCGCTTTATCGGCGCGGAAAATTCCCTCTAGAAGCCCGTCAAGGAAATTTTGGAACACCCTGTATACACACATGCACGCGCAGAAAATTTTTGCTGAATAATGCAGCATGCTGATAGCATGGTTTATTATCCTGACTGTATTGCGCGACTAGGATACACTCATACGGAAGCGAAAATTTATACATGACAGCGAAAAAATAATTTGATCGGATATATTTTTTTAACTTGACAATATAAATTCACCACACGGGAGAGGAAGTATCAGGAAAGTGACAAATGTTTCGTACTAATATGTACATTTTCGACGCTGAAGCTATTTGTTACTTTTAATGCCGGTGTGGGAACGAGTTTTATCTCGGGAAGTAACCATCGTGAAACGTATAGTACCACCTGTGTAGACGGGGAGTTTCTGTGAGAACAGCAGAAAGACGAGATATTCGTTGCTTTGTGGCGTGAATAGACCAATGGTATCTGGGCAGCTTTGTGCAATTGTAATCGCGTCGTTCGTATTTCGTACAGTAGAGTCCTAGATACAAGTGGAGAAGCGTGTTATTGGGTCCGATAGATCGAAAGTCGCCGTCTTATTTGCATGTTGGAGCAAGCGGGCTTCCAGCAGCCGCGTACTATTTGCAGTAAACGACGAGTAAGGGAGATAAGTTAGTTGCTAAAAGTTTCTTAAATTAGTCCCTGGAAGTCTTTGAAAATAAGAATACTTCGAGTGAGAATTTTTCTCATAATCTAGCACGTCATAAAAGGGTTTTAGTTAGTCATGATATACTGAAATTATGTAACAGGAATATTATAACTTACCGGTACATCATATATATGCGCTCTTAGTCGCGGTAGCTGAGCAAAATGGCGCCATTATCATGATGTGATTCAGACTGCCGATGAAACCGATTTTCTCATAACGCTTCTCCATTTGTATATATTATCTCTATCGTACAGCTTTATTCTCTGCTTTCTGAATTTCCCATGCTGCCTTGAGATGATTTCGACGTATATCCTAGCCGGGCAAGATTACTGTGGCACGCAAGACCTCATTAATGCAGTCCCACATTCCCTAGATATAGTGACACCGGAAACTTTCAATTACGCAAAAAAAGAAAACCGAATTACATTTTCGCATCGTAACTGCGGGTTACTCGGTAAATCGGCAACGGCGCTCCAACATAGCGGTCAAAATTATAGATGTGTCGTACTACTGATATAATACCGGTATCGATATTTTTCTTTCGATATTCGTGTTCACATCAGTACTACCACTATGTTTCGATATCTGTTTTTAAATTTTCCACCCAGTCGACATTCAAGATACGTACTTTTGCTTCGCGAAAATTAGTGTGACACGCAACTGTCGATCGGACACCCGCATCGATATATTAGTATCGATACTTTCATGATATCACAACATCCCTAATGAAAATATTCAGAAATGATGCACCCGACCGGATACTTGCGATGTCACTGGGAAATGGGGCTGCATTAATTCTCGAGTCTTGTGTATTTTCTTCAGCTATTTCTTCGAATGCATATTCTTTGTGTGTTCTTGAGGAGTCCCGTGTATTTTTCCGGATGGTTGCATCTTCGGGAAAAATTCTCCGCGTGTTCACGCCTTCGGGAGGAATTCTCCAACGTTCGTTAACTCAAGACGAGCAACGCAATCGTGGGCAACGGCGTGGGCATAACGCGCGAACGTAAGGGCGCGCTCGCGCCGAGCGCGCAATCACGACGGATCTTCTCTCGCGTACGAACGACGGGATTATTCGCGCGGCATCCAAAGTGTTAAATCACGTTAATTAGTCGAGGAGACAGAGGAGCCGCTCGAGCAGTTAGCGATCGCGTCTCAAGATCGATCGTCCACCTAATTCACTACTGCCAGGACTTGAAGAGGAAGCTCGACGAGAGGAGGCCGACGAGGGTCGCCCATCCGACGAGGAGATCGAGTGCGCCCCTCCTGGTGCCGGTCGCGCCGCCGTTCACGCAAGTTTCCCGAATGCTGACGATCTTCAGGCCGCGGCGTCCCAGCAGATTGTGAACGCCTCGTTTGTCGCTCTTCTGCAGGGTGTGCTCCCGCGCCAATAGCAGCGAGTAGAGCTGACTGTTGGGAGGCCGGGAACAGAAAGTCAACACCATGTCCGAGGCCACGGCCTTCATTACGTGCACGGTGCCCACGAACTGGTTGTATTGCTTCTCCGCCAGAGTACCTGCCAATTAAATCAGCAGCTGGTTAAAGAACGCGATATACCAATGACTCGTGCGGTGTGGAACCTCCCCGGCAAATTCTGCCCGCTTTTCGCTTTTCCGTGCCGGTCCTCCGCTTCGTCGAGCGGAATCTCGCGCGCGGGCGGAAGCTTGTACAAGTAAACGGAAATAAACGTGTCGTCGGCGAGCCGGCGACGACGCGTTTATCTCCATTTTGACCGAGTGCTTTTCGCGTTCTTCTTCTGTTATGATCTTGCAGTTTTATTTACCCAAACACCGAAGAGAGAGAGGGAGTTTGCAAAAGCACCGAGCACGTTTCCCAAAATTGCGAAAATCATTTTCGCAAATCGTTACGCTCACAATATAACAGCTGTTTCGTTCTCATAAGCCGTGCATACATATTCGTGTATTTTATAAAATACAAAAAAAAAAGGGGGGAGACATTGGTAACTGGCTTATGAGAACGAAACAATTGTTTAAGAGCGCAACAACTTGCAAAAAATAATTTTTGCAATTTAGGAAAATGTTTTAGCGTACGTGTATATATAGATTCCTATACAAAATGGACATTTGGATTTTATTAATATAAATATTTTCGTTTCTCATTTACGTGCTGTTACGTCGTTATTTATTTCAGTGCGGCTTAACCCGATTTTTTCGTTTGTGCTTTTACGTTTTAAAGAAGGGGGGAAGGGGGGGAAGGAGAGGGTGATACGTTGTAAGCTTATACGACGGACTCCTCCGAGTTATACGACGGACTCCTCCGAGTCGAGTTAATCTTCTTACGGTATTTGTAAAACGATCAAATAGCCTCGACGAGTACGAGTGTAACGATAAAAGCTGATGCGAGTGGCACGAAATTAAAAAGAAACCCGAGCGTTTTCTCTAGAAATTCTCGTGGCGAGTAACAAATAGCGCGCGATACCATTGTATTTTAGTATCATTTATCACCGTGCCCGGCACTTTTATCCGAACGCATTTAATGGACTAAGTCGCTGCTTTGACAAATGTAAGTTTCAACCACTTCGCCGGACCCTCCACCCTCCACGCAGCACAAAGCCCAAGCCGTGCGAGGAAACGTGTGTTTAATCTACGCAAAATAACTAATGGCTTCTGACCGGGATAGTAGATCGTTCGGGACCCCGTTTTTCGTCGTGTTATCATCTCTTTCTTTTATACGACGGTCGAAATCCCACATAGGAAATTTCTTGGGATCCGGCCCGATTTTCTACATAAATTTATAGACTCTGCTTAGAAAAACTATGAAAAATCGGGTTAGAAGAGTAATGTTCCAAACACGTGATTCTAAATGGGAAACTCCAAAATGAATTCCGTTTGATTTGTCAAACATTTACCGGAGGATCTATTTTCCATTTTATATTAGAATTGAATAAAATATATCAGACACTGAATGTATAATTATAAATATTTAAAAAGTGCAAATGTTTAAAGTTTTAATTTTTTTTTCAATTTTATTGAATTCAATAGTTGGTACAATAAAGGAGCGTTCTCCTCTCTCTACGTATGTAATTCCATTAAAATGTATATCGATTTTATCTATTAAAGAAAAAGAAATAAATTTCCACGATATTTCTGCCTCGATTGTAGAGAATATTTGAAATAACAATGGGATTTCCAGTTGATGTCTCAATGAGATGCTCTATTTTAGAGCCAATTTGATGCTGAATACAGTCTATGCCTCTGGAAAAATCTCACAAAGAAAGTATTTTAAGATCTAATCGGGATCTTACTCAATGTAATTTCATAAAAATGTACATTGAAAAAAAAGTTTGGTAACAATTATAAAACATTTAGTGGAATAGTTTCGACTAAGTGATTTAATTGCAGTAATCAAACCATTTAGTTGCACGGTACGTGTAAATTATTTAGTTAGTGTAACCAAATCATTTAGTCGAAACTATTTCACTAAACGTTCCATAATCGTCACCAAACTGTTTCTTCAGTGTATCGATTTCACCTGCTAAAAGAAACATTTCCACGAAATATTCCTGCTACAATTGTAGACAGAAAATCCACGTTTTAATCCATGTTTTAATTTTATATAAAAATAAATTCACGATTCGGATAAAAATGGAATTCCCAACTGGGAGGAATAATCAATATTCGGGCGAATCTGGGCGTTCTCGAATTGAGAATCAATCCAAGGGGGATCTGGAAAGATGTCCGCGCGGAAATTCCCATGCGGGATGTCCCTCCTCGCGTGAGATTAGCTCGGCTTGGTAGAAATCAATCGGGATCGCGTCGATCCTGCCGGACGATTTCGCTCGTTCGCGCGATTCGCCGCGATCGCCCGTGGAAACGCGAAAGACGGGTGTGTGGGAGCGGGCCGTACCATGGAAATGTGTAATATCACGCCTCATTACATAGTTGAGAAAGCACTTAACGTTATGAAGGGAAATATACGGAGACGAGACAGCGGGAGCACGTGTACGATCTACGTGCGCGATGCGCAACGATCGCGAACACGACGCGCGTATGCCTTCTATATTCACGGCCCGCCATCGCCGCGTCGGATGTCGGAGATATTTCAACGGGGATGGCACTTTAATACCTTTTAGCATTTAGAAGCAGCCGCGCGTTTTCGAATCGACTCGTACACGGGAGCGCTCCACTACCGCGGGCCGGCTCGATTTTTCCCGGCGAACTTCGAACATCGGAGGATTGCGATCCGACGACCTTTTTACCCCGTGAAAGAACGCGACGGAGGGTCGCGAGAGACGGCTCTCCGCGTGTGTGTGCGCGCGTACCGGGAGAGTATCGTCTCTCTCTCGACAGCCGCAAATTACGTTGCACGAAGATTACGAATTCCATCGCGAAAAACTGCCGGCGGATCTTCCTTTTTAGTGTCGAAAGTACGGCAGCTGCACCCTGATGAGATTCCCGGCCGAAGTCGGGGGAAGTTAAATTTGGTGAGAGGAAGATGTCGGACGAAAGTTTCCATTCCGCCGTCTATAAAACGGCAAAAACATTTTCGCGGCGAGTCACGGGAGTCGCGCTCTCCAGAGCGCGCTTCCGATTCGCGGAGCGGCTAATCTACGGAATTGATTTAACTTTCCGTAATAAAGTCGCTTATATACGTCGTGTCGATGAAGAAGGAGCGAGCGTCAATCGCGCTTACGCGCCATTTTGCCTCGCGTACACGTGCGCTCACGTACACCCGGTATATGTGTTTCAATACACTTTCGGCTCTTTTTTTTTCTCTCTCTCTCTCTCTCTCTCTCCCGATGCAGTTCCTGCGGAACGCAGCCGATGCCCAATGAAAGAGAACTTGTCCTCCCGGAATTATTCAAAAACAAGTTGCCCCATTGGACACATTGGCTGCGCTCCGAACTGTGTCGGGGGGGGGGGGGGGGTTTAAACNTACAGTCGGCGTAACGCGCATATATCGTGTGCCATTTCCGCGATCGAGTCACACGATATTTAGCCTTACACGTGTAAGGTAGAAGCCGTTACAACTGGCGCAGGGTCGCGAGTAATTAATAACTATTTTAATTAGTCACCGTGTATAATTGACGATTAGCATCAGCCAGAATCCAACTGAAGACGGTTTAACTGGCAATCGATTTCAACAGGTTCAATCGGAGATCGTTCAATTGATGATCGATTTCAACCGGTTCAATTGAAGATCGTTTCACTGACGACTAATTACAACGAGTTTAATTCAGTTTAATTAAAGATCTTTGAATTGATGTTTGGTTCCAACGAATTTAATCAAAGGTTTGATTTCACGCCGTTTGATTGTGATGATTAATTCAACGAATTCAATTAAAGATTGCATAATTAATGATCGACTTCAACGAATTCAATTAAGTATCATTCACTTGGTGATTAATATGAGCGAGGGAGATCAAAGGTTGTTTTTTCTCGGAAATTACAATTCTCTTCGTACACCGAAGGAAGAGTTTGGCAACGATTGCCAAAAATTTATGGCCGGTTGTTCTACCTGCGAATTTATGTATAGAATAAATATCCGGAGAACTTTCCCGTCCGGAAATAAACTACAAGAATACGAAAAAATTATTGCTATATTATTGTTTTTCAATATTTTTCTTCAATAGCATACCGATCATTCCTTCGTATTCTTGTAGTTTATTTCCACACTGGAGCGTTCTTCAAACATTTATCTATTAGGTAAATTTATCCGAAGGCGGAAACAACAATCAGCTCTTAATAAAGCAGTTTCAGCTAAATGATTTGGTTACGGTGACCAAATTATTTAGTTGCACAATACGTGAAATTAATTTGGCTGGAGTAATCAAATAATTTTAGTTGCACTTATTGGTTTAGTCGCACTAACCAAATAATTTAATTACGTAAATAATTATATAAATAATTTAGTTCAACCAGACGATTTGGTTACGATAACCAAATCATTTAATTACACGTATCATGTTATTAAATGACTTGGTTATTTTAACCAAAATATTTCGTCAGAACTATTTCAGATCTTTGGTAATTATTATCGAATCTTATTTTCAATGCACGCTATAATTATCCTTCCCTATCGTTCACGGTGGTCTTAGCCGTGTGGAGGAATCACCAAGTGTAGCATCGTCAGTTTTTATTAATCTGCAAGCTCCCTCCTCCCTCCCCCCACTAAAATAACCGCAAACTATCCTCAAGAGCGTCAAATTAACATGAAATTTTCGATTCGGGCTTGTCGCGTGTATAATCTGAATAAATTATACCGTTCGAATTTTCAATCTATTTTGCTGTCCCGCTTCCTCTGCTGCATTGTAAAATTAAAGATTCAACTCGGTAATATAATTACCGCCGGTACAATACTTTCTTCGCGGAATTGCCACGCCATGGAATATTATTACGGAAGCTCAGATATCGTTTTCGGTTTTCGCTTTTTGGTTTTCGGTATAGTTACGCTCCGGTAAGCGGGCTGAAACGAGCTCCTCGGACGAAAGAGAAAGAGAGAGAGAGAGAGAGAGAGAGAGAGAGAGAGAGAGAAAGATAGAGAAAAGCCTCGGTC